TAATCATTTAACACTTTTATCAAATCTCCAATGTTTTTAAATTGAGTTTAACCTTACTGTATTCGTTTTGGAAAATCATTAGAAAAAAATTCAAATATTTGTAGATTACTGCTTGTTGCGTTTCTTTTGCGCTTCAGTATATATGTAAGTTTACTGGCAATCTTAATAACTATTACTTTTCGAAAAGGTTTCGTGTTCGTCTCGTGCTTTGTGTATGTTCATTGTCTTGCGTGTTTTGTGTGAGTGTTTTTGTGTAGCTTGCAGAGCAGAGTAACACCTAAGGATCAATTCGTCTGCCTGTTTGTCTGGCACACCTTGTATTTTGATAACTGTTTGAGGTAGAGATTTGATATTTTGCTTACATGTACATATTTCTTGGAAGAATGGCTTTTGTGAAATACCATGGTTACCATCTCGTGATTGTCGAACTTGACTTCTGATTTACTTGTCAAAATATACCATAGTGCCAATATACAAATATTCTCTGACCTTTGACAAGTGGACGGCTTCTTATGAGACATGTTGAAAGAAATCTCTTGACATTGACCTTTGGTCTATTTTTCTATAATGTCTTAACCCGTTCATTACCGTCTTCCTTGGAAGACGGCATACAGAGTATTTTACATGCAGTCTTCGGACTATTAACTTCCTCTCTTTGTGATTGGTAGAAAATTGCATGATATGAAACTTCCAATTATTTCATTATTTGTAATGCTGCTCATGGCAAGGCAGACAATTTTCTGTTGCGCTAATTTTCGTACGACTTTTTCAAGATTTTCAATCTTTAAAAAATCGACAAAACGAACAGAGAAAAATGGCAATGAATGAAACTATACAACACTTTATTTTTTCATGGCAATTATTAAAATGTGCTTATATATTTTCACGGTAAACAGAAAGTTTCTTTATTGCAGCAAACAATACAGCTTGTATTCTTTTCCCTTTGTTTTGCACTGTCTGTCATATGGTTGGGCTAATGACTGTAAAAAGCTGATGGAAAACATAAAGTCAAGAATTGCTCAAGAATAAAATGGTGTGATAGGTGTAGGCCAGTTAATTGTTTAAGTTTGTTGCTTTTTTAAAAAAGCTATACTTGTTTTATTCATGTCATGAATTTTGAGTATAGTGCTTTGTTTGATGAAACTAGCGTTTAGGAACATGTTATACATGTAACCTCATGACATTTTCTTTCAAACTGTATTGACATTAACCGCACAAACTGAATGCAGATTGACGAACAAGTCGCCGAAGAAAATGCGTATCATTCGACTAGTAAGAAAGTGAAAAATTATAACATAATTTCTTTGATATTTTTGTTAACATTAATGTATATTTTATGCAAAAACTCCATAATTTGAACAACCTCTAGTTTTATTTGTGTCTTTAATGGTGCTATACATGTAGCAGGGGACACATGCGTTCCTTGAAACACTTTATTTCAATTTTCTAGGTTTTCTTCTTGACCCAAGATAACAATATCACTTAACTGAGATCAAACCAGTCTACTTCTATTTTAAACAAGACTTTGACTCTGCGAAATTATTGTATAGGTGACTGCTGATAATAAAAGAAATAATTTTTGTGCAGTATGGAAAGAAATATAATTATATTATGCTTAAATGTACGTGCAAAAAAGTAAAGTAAATGAACTGGAAACAGAATATCCTTTATATTATTATGGTTCATGTAATAGGAGAGTCTTTAATTTTTAAGGTGTGCTGTATGTATATGCAATGTGCACTTTGCAGATTGATTTGAAACTTTGAAGATTCACAAAAGGTTGAAGTGGATAAATTTCCGGTGGTTTGTTTTTAAAAATCAATATCATCAAGTTTATTTTTGCGTGCATAAAACTAAGACAGAGTTTCCCTGTCATCGATTTAAGCACGTATATTATAGATGCTAGTATGTGTACACATATGCTAGTTTATCAGTTTTATTTTTTGTATTATATTTCTTTGTTATATTTCAATGGTAAAATAATAATAATTTGGAAATCAGCGTTAATGTATTCTTAACATTATGTTAAACCAAGATAAAGCATAAATACATTTTTTATTATCACCAGGATTTTCTTTTCCCAACTTGGAGGCAGATTGTGATAAGTATTTTTTATGAGAATTCTTTTAGAAAAGTAGGTATTAAAAGGAATAAGATGAAATATGGAGATAAGGAACAGCATTCAAGCTCAAAGTCCATTTAGACAATACAAATCAGGAGCAGAGCAAACACTGACCTGCACAATCATCATAGGTGGGATCAAGTGCCATGGAGGAGTGAGCATCCCCTGCCGACCGTTCACAGATTTGAATAAATAGCAATATTAAGGTTTTCCGTTTCCAACGGAAGACCTTCTACTGATTCTGTCGTTTCTTTCCCACTATTATTAATACAGTAAACATCTTTTATAACGTATCTCAAGGGACTGTCATAAATCCTACGTTATAACCGGTGTACGTTATAAACGGAGACGGAAGTACTCAGTACACCTTTACTGTAAACACCTTTCAAACGCTAGTGTGTTATAAATATTTTTAAGTATGTATATTATGTAAATAAATGATTTACAGGTATATTTGGTTTCATTTCTTCTATTAAGAAAGATTAATATTCAATAACATTTTATTTTCGCAAACTATAAATTATTTCAAAAACGTTTAGTGCTTTACAATCTTGATGATCGTTAGATCATTTAAAAAGTCCGTAATGTTTGTTTGTTTGGCCCGACGACATTTATTTACAAAGTCTCCACAGTTGCCAGAGCGGTGAAAACACTGTCTTTCACACCTTCAAAGGAATTTACGTAAGTTTTAATTTCGGACAAATGCTCTTTAATTGATCGTCTGGGTAGAGGGCATACACGTGTCAGGCACTCGTTCGTCGTCCTCGCTGTCGTCGCGGTCTATGGATTTTATTCAAACAATTAATTATGAATCTGCCTAGTGAATTTTATTCAAATAAATTATTATAAATACATCTACCTGAAACAACAAAGAAACCTCGTTATAAAAACACCCAGCTATAAAGTCAACAAACCGTGACTAATCCGCGGATGGTCATCGTGCTGTAAGAAAAGGTGTGAAACCAGGTGTCAGAATACGTTATAAAAGGTGTAATTATGTAATGGGACCAAATTTCTAATACTTTATAAGCGATACTACGTTATATACAAATACGTTGTAAGCGGGGTTTTTTTTTTCAATGAAATATATAGACAATTTGCCGGGACTATGGAATAGCTACTTTAAATCCGGCGATATTCTATAACCGAGTACGTTATAAAAGAAGTGTACTGTATATATATATATATATTTTTTTTTTTTTTTTTTTTTTTTTTGGCCGATTTTGTGCAGGAGATTTCTCGAGAACGCCTCGATAGATTTTCATGAAACTTTCAGCAATGATGGCAAATCATCTGAACTTAGGGCATTTTTTTTATTTTGCCGTCGTCACTTCCGGTCGCGAGATACGGCAATTTTCTTTGTTTTAAAGTTGCATTTTGTCCGCCAGTGTTCTTAGAAATGCTTTGAGATTGAGTCTTAAAATCTTTCAGGGATGATAGATTGTGACTCGTAGATTTGAATTTCTTGTTTAGTTTTTGTTGCCGTCCGTTGTCCACCGGAAGTAGTTTTAAAAAAACGCAAATTTTTATTATTTTTTTTTTAAATGTTTATAATAGAGATAATAGAGGCAAATAGACTGTTTCAAGTCATATTATTTCCACTGGAAGTTATTTCTTTCAAACCGGAAGTAGATGAGAAAATGCTCATTTTTCCTCGAAACTTTGAGGGATGACTCCTCCCCACTCAGTGAGGAGTTAAAAGTCATTTTGAGTACTTCCGGTCATACCGGAAGTGAATATAAAAGACCGGAAGTTTTTTGAAATTGATAGATTTCACTCTTTCGTGTGTTGCTCAGCATATTCTGAAGAATTGATAGGAATATTTTTTGTTCATTTGAAGTTGTTTACTTTCTTCTATTAATCAAAATTTCCCAATCAAGATCTTATCAGAAATCTAACGAAGACCTACTCATTGCTCGCAACGAGATCTCATCTAGTTATTATTATTATTTTAAAATAAGTATTTCTCACGCACTTTTGACAAAATTTCTCTAATGCTAATGACGATATCACAATGATTAAAAAATTCACTGACTTTTTCATGCATTATAATACATCATCAGTGGCGGTACATTCTTTCGAGATTAATTGCATGTTGAAAGGTGTTGAAGGGGAATGAAATTAAATATTCATGTAACTTGCAAAATATATCTTACTCTCTGGTATATTCTGTTGCATCAATTTTCGGTGTGTCCTGATATCTAATCAATAGATCGCCTAAATTGTTTAAATTCCTAAAGAAACTGATCACGAAAAAAGTAAAGTTATAAAATATTTATAACAAATCAACTTACAAGAGATTTGAAAGGGCTGAAGATTTTCATTGTATTGTTGAAGGACAGACACGGTAAGTTCTAATGTTAAATTATATAAATTCCATTGTACTTGACAATCTTTACTATTTTAAGAGACATCGCTTACCCTTATTTTATTTGGCGCTTAAATATATGAGGAAGCGTGTAAACAGCTAACAATATGCTCTTGCATGATGAAATCGTTATAATTAGTTTTTACAAGCATTTACTTTCTCAATGGAAAATCTTCGTAATGCTAAATACAATTTTTCTGAAAAATTTTATTTTACTTGAAAATTTTTGTAAAGAAATACTTTTTTATTTTTAACACATTTTTGTTTAAAAAAAAAATAAATTAAATTTATTTCTTCATTAAATCCTATCCCATAATAATATTAAGATGTAAGACCATATTATAATTTTAATTTCTTTATTAAATATTGTGTCACAGTTTTCTATCAAGTGTATTTAGGTATATAATACATGTTTTCGAATGTTCATTTGGTGTTAAAACTTTAAGTTGCGGAAATATCTATTCAAAGCATTGCAGATCACAATTAAGATATGATTTATACACAGGGTTAATGGACAATGATATCGAAGCTTCGGCAAGCCAACAAAAGGAAGTGAGTCCTACTGCTTGGCCTGACGATGACGTCATATCTAACAAATCTCAAAGTGACTCTAGACCATACACAACAACCCCTGTCGTAAGTGTGGATAAAATAGATGTCGACAAGGAAAGTGACAAAGAAGTTCCGGAAAAAGAAAACAACAAAGGTTTTAGCTGCTTTGAAACATTCAAGAATGGAGTCAAGTGTGAGTGGTCTTTAATATGTATTTATACATGTAAACCATAGTACAAATGATTGATATTTCATGGTTCATTTGTACTTTTCAATATTGTTAGAAAAGTTTATGTTTTGATTTTTAATTTAATCTGGTTTATCAACATTAACATTGTAATCTCAGCTATATGGGCGACAAGACATACCTTGGGACCGGCTGATGACAAAAAGATCCACGTCAACACGACCGTGAAAGAACTAATAGTTTATCTTCTATTTCTGATCCTGCTCTCAATTGGTAAGAAAAATCAAGCGTATAGGAGCATTTTTAAGATCGGCCTCGGTCAATCCCAGTTGGTTTCATCAGACGTGTCTGGCATGTACATATATGTCTAATTGTGCGCACATAATGCAACAGACCACAGAATATCTGTTTGCTTTAAGGGTTCCTGTAATTATTACTTCATATCATAAAACTTTTATATAACTAATCAATCTAATTAAAATTAGATGTTCCGAATCCGCTACCGCTTCTCAAACATCTAACAACATCCCATTCGGGGTCACGTCAGAGCGACCTTTCGATTACCCAATGAAATCGCCGTCGTCGAAATCTTGGCTTATAGTTCGGATGCGATTCTTTTTTTACTGCCAAACCTAAACGCCCGAGGGGTTTCGTAGTAAACAAAATGTGCACGGTGAAGACCGTGCTATATATGAATGTGACGTGCGGGATATATAGTAGTTTGTGCATTTTCGTTTGCGTTATTCAGGTAAGAATGTCAGACTGGCGGCCTATAGTTCAATTTATACCAAAATTACTTTAATTCATCGTAAGACAGTCTACTGAGCATCAATAATGTAAAGGAGTAGCCGTGGAACTAATTTTAGAATTGTATACAGAAGGTTGAATCTGATTGGCCCAAATTTTTATGTTTATTCGTAATCGAAAGGTCGCTCTGACGTGACCCCGAATGGGATGTTGTTAGATGTTTGAGAAGCGGTAGCGGATCCGGAACATCTAATTTTAATTAGATTGATAACTAATGAGATTTAATGCGATATATGGTTTATGCTGTACAAATATTTCTAAGAGCCCATGAAATTGTTTATTTGAAAAAAAAAATAATTTTAGAATTCTTTTGGGAAAAATCTTTAGTACATGAATATAACAGGAAAAGTTTAATCTGACAGTGATTTTTCTTTTGAAATAATTTACTGTGCGATTTCTTAGTATAAAAGAGATGACAAAGAGGAAATTATAAACATCTGCGTTTTCAAAAGGTGAAACTTTCCATTAAAAAGAATGTCTATTTTCCTCTAGGATAATACAATCAACAATATTAGAATTTTATATGTTTACAAAAGATCTTGGCAATCTCTACCTTAAAGAATCGATCGATCTTTATTATGATGATGTGACTATCCTGGAAAATGACGTCATTGTTTGATTATCTCTATATTATACATAAAACTGGGGGGAAAACTGAACAAAGCATTTGTCCCCTGAATTTTCGCATACATTTTCTTCCTGACAGTCGCCTTTGGTATGACCAACACATCGATGTTTTTCGTCACTAAAGTGATGAGTGAACTGTATCTGGACACAAGTTCCGGGGGTGTGTCCTTCCGGTCGATAGGTGGCGCGGATGATGTGTGGAAGGTAACATATAAGATCAAATTTTCCTTTGCTCGCAAATATCGAAGAACTGACTGAATGTTTTATCCCAAACTGAATTTGTTTTCAGTTCCTTCGAGGACCGTTACCCTCCTCGCTTCACTGGGAAACATGGTACAATAACCAGCCACTTCCTGAAAATGGCAACGGATATATTTTTCACGAAAACAAACTTCTGGGACTGCCGAGGATTAGACAAGTTAAAGTCAGAAATGATTCATGTGCAATACATAAATATTTTCGGGACTTTATATTTGAATGTTATGACGCATACTCTGAGTCAAACGAAGATAAGACCTCTGAAACTAATGACACTCGAATAAAGAACTATACTGCGTAAGTTCAATCTTTAACATTCTAATTCTTGAAAGGAAAAGTGCACATATTATTACTGTTAGCAATTGTTTAGACTTTTAGTTGGCGATTAAACAATTTTGGTTTCACTATTAGAAATCCTAATCTCGATCACTACCGTGTTTGAGAAAATGCATATCCTATATACACATTAGTCAGAAATGTTTTGACAGTGATTTACCCGGGAGGAAATGGCAGCGTGCTTGCCAATAAAATGTCAAAATAAAATGTTTCCCTACCTTCTTACCCTATTTTTTTTTCTCAGGTTGGAATAGGAAACACACTATTTCTTGGCCTGCGTTCAGATATATAATGATTACATATGTAGCATATGATTTGAATCATAAAAGAAATACTAAAATGGTTTTGACATTGATGTATAACTTTTCTAGCAAACGTTTCAGAGTGTCCATCTTAAGATCTGAGAAATGAACAGGCATTCTTATTTCATAAGCTCAGAAATGGAAGACTTAGTATGTTTGCTAAAAAGAAGAGTAGTACTTACATTTTAGACATTTTACAGATTTACTTATCAGTCAGAGGCTTCCTTGCGTGGCAGTAGTTATGGAGGAGAGTTAGCTACATATAGTGGAGGCGGATATGTGCAAAACCTTGGAAAGACAAAAACCGAGACTCGAGCAACGCTGGACTATCTTTTTACGGAAAGATGGATCACGCGAGGAACCCGAGCATTTTTCATTGACTTCTCTGTGTATAATGCTAATGTTAATCTGTTTTGTGTCATTCGACTCATCGTTGAGTTCCCGGCAACAGGAGGCGCCATACCTTCGTGGAGTTTTAGAACTGTGAAGCTTTTGCGTTACGTCACAGTTTTTGATCATTTCGTCATGGCTTGTGAGTTTTTCCTTGCCCTTTTTATCGTGTATTACATCATTGAAGAAATTATTGAGGTGAGGATTGATATTTTTCTTTTTCAGACTAAATAAGTGCTTTAATAATTCTAAGAAACATTACAATTTGCTACAATCAAGGTTCAAACATTCCATTATTTTCTTCCAGATAAAAATTCATAAGCTTGCCTACTTCAAAAGCGTGTGGAATATCCTTGACGTCACGGTTATCGTAATATCTATTGTCTTTTTGTCATTCGATATCTATCGAACTCTTGAGGTTGACAAAAAGATGGAAAAATTAACTTACACTAGCGACCATTTCGAGGATTTTGATTTTCTCAGTCTCTGGCAAGTCAGATTTGACAACGCCATTGCCATTACAGTGTTTCTGGCCTGGGTCAAGGTACCTGTATGGTAATTTATACATTTATCCAAAGACTTGCTGTGAATAAATAACAATATGCTTAGCCCTTTAATTTTTAAATCATTGCTAAAACAACTACCTCAATCAACTTTTAACGACCTTACAAAAGGTTCTCTAAATAGTAAGAAAGTTAAATTGAAGAAAACTGACAAAAGGAGAATTTCGAGGTTTTCAAGTCTGTACAATTTTGCCAGAATTTTTGGTAACTTTATTAAATTCTCGTATGATTAATTATAAATTATACGGTTTTGATAAGGGTATATATTGAAATATGTGCAAGTATTTTTAATCCTTGGTATATCTGCTGCACAGATTTCTTAACTTGAATTGGTTCTGAGAAGAAGCAATGTATTCGCAACTCACAAAACCTTCAGTTAGTCTTATTTGATGGTTAAAGAAATATGTTATCTGCGACGAAAAATTACGAATTAAAACTTTCAAAACGCAATATCTGATACAGACTGCTTTATTTTTTTTTAGCTGTTTAAATACGTCAGCTTCAACAAGACGATGAACCAGCTATCCTCCACCCTCGCTCGCTGTGCTAAGGATCTGATGGGGTTTGCTGTTATGTATTTTATCGTATTCCTAGCGTTCACTCAACTTGGATATCTACTGTTTGGGTCTAAACTGAAAGAGTTCAGTGAATTCGGGAGTTCGTTGTAAGCTACCTCAGATTTTTTTTCTATGAAACTTTCTAAGAAATGAAACTATTTATTTATCATACATACTAATGTATGATAAATAAATATACGTATCAAATATCGTCAAGCTTATGTGTTTATTTAAAAACTTTAATGTGATAATTTTAATTTTGTTTGAAAAAAAAGGTTTTTTTTAAATTCTAAACTCAGGGTTTGTTTGCTTTTTATGTCCCAAATTTTCTTTTCAATACTTTATCAATTGTAACTAAAATCTGAAATTCTTGCTAAAGTAGGGCAGCTGATTCTATTGTTCTGTACCCCTATCGAAAAAGGGGACATATTATATGCACCTGTGATTCCTGATTTATTTTTAATAAAGCCTTTGCTAATGTTAGACATTCAGACAGACTTGCAAAGAAACTGTTACAAGATTAATTGCACCCTGTGTTAATTTCGGCTTTTTTTTTTTTTTTTTTTTTTTTTTACTTTTAACAAATAATAATTGTTCATTTTAAATTCGCTCAGACGCAGTTGTGTTAAAAAGTTAATACCGTCTTTCGTGAATTCGCCCTGTTTTGAATGCACCTATTCTCGACAAGGTCGAAATGGCTAAAAATAATTGGGGACAGAGAGTTTTCATGAATACAGCAAGTAGATGATTGAAACTGGTTTAGATCAAAAGATCAAATATCACTTTATTCTTGCGCATCAAACTGGTTCCTGCCATTATATAGAAAAATTACAGTTGATACTGTATGTAATTATCATCAAACGACATTTATAAATTTGCCTTAATACATTGTAAATCCCCAGTGATTTTCAGGTCAAAAAGACAGAGTTTACTAGTTTTCTGCTACCCTCAATGTCTCACAAGTTAATTTTAACAGACAGATCACATGTGATATACATGTATGTATGGCCAGTATTGTATAATAATAAGTCATGTAAAAGGATGAACTTGCGTAACATTTTTTTTTTACATCCGCTGGTATATCAAAATTTTTGGTAAAAAGTTAACCATAGCAGATTTTTGGAGAATTCTTTTTTATATATTTCTAGTGCACTGATATGTCCTTTGCAGTATTTTAATGTTAATAACTTTACCGTGAATTGGTCCTTTTATTTTATTGACTGTGCCATCATGCTGTAAATTTTGAATTTACTAGGTGGAGATAAACGCTATATTTTACAGCGAGATTTTTTTCATATTTTGCATTTACCTCCGACTACTAAATTCAAAAAATAAAACTTGATCCTAATTTTTATATATAATTTTCCATTTCAGCTTTGCACTTTTCAACATAATCCTTGGGAGTTTTGATTTCTACGCCCTGAGGGCCGTAGACCGATATCTAGGACCTACCTTCTTCTTTCTCTTCATCTTTTTCATCTTCTTCATACTCGTCAACATGTTCCTCGCCATCATCAACGACACGTACTCTGAAGTGAAGAGCGAGCTGGCTAATCAACAGGACGATTTCAACATCTCGGAGTACTTCTTAAGCGTAAGAGATGACCCAAACTACAATTCATGTAATAAAATGAATATTAACAGAAAAATTAAGAATTAACTGAGGAATACAAAAGTGCAAAAGCACTTCAAAAGAAAATATTTTCTTAGTAACAGGTTTATGATGGTTTCACACTGATTCTACTAAAACTTCAAAGCTTCAAATTGATAACAAAAGAAGATTGCAGGTTCTTGACGTCATACTTTGTTTCTCTTACGGGATGAACCTTTATCATTCAGTCAACTGAAAGGTCACTAAATGACAGAGCTCTGCCATTCGGCGATCTTTCAGTAGACATTCAGTGACCTTTCAGTTTACTGTATGGCAGAGTTTTTATTGTATCTTTCACAGTTTTTCTAGTACAATTACATTAATTAACGATTTAAGGAATCTTCATATCCTAATGGAGAATTACTTTATCTCCATTCAGATTGTATTTTAATTCTCATCATAGCAGAATTTAAATAAAAATTGGAGAAAAAAAATAACAAAGACAATTTATGTAATTAATGAAAGCGTTTGAGATAAAATACAACACATTAAAAAATAGAGGCGAATTATAATCTTAGAATTACCTCTCTTTGCTCTGTTTCATTTCCTGCTAAGCTCGATGTTCTCTTATTTTTATCTACAGAAATACAGAAAAATGTTGGGAAAGATACATGCAAAAGAAGACAGGGTTCTTGATTTGGACGATGTTCTGAAGTATGCTGACGCCAATTCTGACGGGAAAATTGACTTTGAAGAATGGCGCCTAGACCTCATGAAGTATTTTAATCCTGTTTTATGTCAGAGAGATAATTTGGTCAATGAAACACAATACAATCAGCGTTATATACGTTAATTTTGCTACATTTTACAGACGTGGTTACGCCGAGTGTGAAATCGAGGCTCTGTTCTGTAAGTATGACGCTGATGGTTCCCGGTATCTGGATAAAGAAGAACAAGAGAGACTTCGACAGGATCTAGACGCTCAGAAGGTTATAGATAAAGTAGCACCAGAGAGAGAGAGAGAAAGAGAGAGGCATGAAAAGAGAAAGAATAAACTTTTAAAATTGCAAAATGAAAAAGAGAAAGAATAAACTTTGAAAATTGCAAAATGAAAAACACTACATAAATTCAAGTTTTAAATAAGCCAGAAAATTCAATCAATTTTGAACATTTATAAGTTATAACAAGCAATATATCTAATTTATAAGCGGAAATAAAATTCTCATCAGTGAAAATATCCCTATTCTTCACTTTATTCTCCTTTGAAAGTCATTTTAATCAAATATGAAGACAATAAAGGGGGAGTTACTTAAAGATTGCTTTAAAGAAAATATCTAAAACGTAAAGATGTGGGGTTTTTTTTCTTCATCAGAGACAAATCAACAAGGAATACAATGACCTCGAGGATAAAAATGGTACCCAAGTCAGCGAGAATGATGACAGCGATAAGGAGGATAATTCAGTAGCAGGCGGATCTACACAGAAGAGGGGCGGGTTCTCGGGAGTGTTGTACGAGGAGTACACGCACCTGTGCAAACGTGTAGAGAGAATGGAATACACCATCGGGGGTGTTATTGGCCGAATTGACTCTGTACTCTCTCGGCTGGTGAACATCGAAAAAGCCAAGCTGAAACGACGAGACGCAATTTCAAAGATTTTGAATTATATGAATGAGGTAAGATTTTTGAGAAACAGAAACATATGATTTTGTGGTACTTACAAAATGTATCTGCGTTTGAATGTGTTCCGACACAAGAGATTGTATTCATTTGCATGGAATTTTATTGATAGAGTCAGAATAACGAAGATGGAATGAGTAAAGAGAAAATGCAGACCATGATAAAACGGGAACTAAGCAAACTTGACTCGGATGATACGGATAGTACTAGAGGCCCTTCTGTGTCTACTCGGAAACCCTCTGATAATATCCCTAACGACAACACGGACGAAAGCAAAAGAATCGAGGAAACTGTCCCAACTTAAAAATGAAAACTTGAAAAGCCTGAAAATGTGAACCACTTAAGAAATACAAATATAATCTATATATCCAACAGGTTATCCCCCTGACGTGCAGTTCTAAGCTGTCAATAAATTAATTCACTGCAATGATAAAGTTATAGTTCGCACTGCAGTATGTAAAGGTTTCAAAAACATTCCTTATTCAAGCACGTTCAAGTTTTATAAAATTGATGTTTTTGTAGATGTTCATTCTCTCTCTCTCTCTCTCTCTCTCTCTCTGGGATTATAACTCCGAAAATTCTCTCTCTCTCTCTCTGGGATTATAACTCCGAAAATTTTCTTTAATAAATTGATACTTTAAAAGTAGAACAATATTTGCATGGTTTTAAGACTGCAATAGTGATGTATTACATGCATATATTCATTATAAACTCTTAACTGTTTCTGACTTCAGATAATAAGTACATGTACTACAACTGTGTTTCTAGTTATGATCTATCTTTTGATGTTATAAAGTCATTATGTTGATACTTACATGAGTTATTCCTCAGTAGAAAATTGAAAATGAACATTACTTACCCAATATATATATGTTCATTTTTTAAAACAGATTACGAGTTGTGTTTTGAGAAGCCGCTTATTACAATAAAACGAGTGCTTTCGATCCTTTCTTCAAAACATAAACATGCACGTAACTTAGATTTGCATTTTTCTCACGGTTACTATCCATTTATTATTTATTTATTTATTTATTCATTTATCCTGGCCCCTTTTTCCCCTGTCTTGCAGCATGATGAATATTGCTTAAACATCTGGCACAACCCACGTTTTAACATAAAATGACCATATCTAATTTTCTTCAGATCTTGTTGATATTTTCTTTATGTTGAGAATTCATAATAGGGAAACATACATGTACATATACATGTAGGCCCTGAGTAATTATTTTTTTAATGTTAATTTAGATATCTATTTCACTTTTGTGAGAAAAACTAGTACATGTGTACTTGATTTGAAACTAGATAATTATTATTAAGTCTATTGTAGTGGGTAAACCTACACCTCACATGTGACTGACCTTTTTTGGTAAGAATCCACTGATTTTCGAAAGTTCCCCCGGAAAAATTCAGTATGTAAAAGAAGTGACAAACATGTATAGGTCTTAACAGGCCGTGTGTTTGATTAAATGTTCCTCACGGTGAAGTTGCATGTCACTATATGATAATAAATTATTTACTTGCTTGTTTATTTATTTTAAATAAATTTATACATATAAATGTTTGGAAAAACAGCTATTCTTAATCATGATAACAAAATTATGAGGTAAGAATTCCTGAATTCTTTGCATAATTAACATGATTTATTTCCTTCTGCATTTCGTGCAACACATTTAAGACCGCGGAACATTAACTGGCAAAAATTGGAAATATGCAGCTTACGTCATTTCCATCTGAAACAGTCAAAACATTTACATGTACTGATAGACAATGAAATTGACGGGTACAATTAGTCTCTACGCAGTTAATTCTTTACACAGGCGTGAAGCAAAGCGCTTTGTTTTCTATGATATAGTTTATATTTGGGAAATATAGTGTGTATAATTACAGTATGTTAAAGCATTGTACTATTTATATTATCAAATCCCACTCATGGATTAATTCACAAAATTAATTCAATTTTTAACGGATGTTTATTTTCAATGCTTATCCCCTAATCTTAAATCATTAGAGCCAAAACAGGGTCTTCTACGAAATAAAAAAAAAATGTAATCGATCTTCGTTTGTACAGTAGGGAAAGATAACTCCCGATGTTTTATTGTTGTTTTTAAAAGGGGGTTAATCATAGTGCTAATCTATAAATTAATCAAAATATTTCTGAAAAAAAAATAAAGATAAATGAATATTCTCTTTCTATCGTAGGTAGATATTTATGTAGAACCACTAAGATTAATTACATTTTTACTGTATATTCATGTTTTAATATCACCATTTATTAAATCTTTATTCATTGTTTAAAAATTACAATAAACCTATTTGAGACATAATAGCAAAATTACCCTATAAAACACCACAAAAATTTGAAAATTTGATTGACGATGTCCTAGAATATACATAGTGCCTGATTATTTTTTTCTTTAAAAGGAATTCTTTCAATAAATTTGTTTTTTGGGCGGAGTCCTTTATTATAGATGAATAAAACGTTCTTTCGTGCATAAAGCATAAACTGATTTGAAGAAGCAAATCGATTTTTTGGGGGGGAGTAAGGTGGGGTGTGGGCGGGAAAATTATATATATATATATATATATATATATATATATATATATATATATATATATATATATATATATATATATATATAAAGTAAGTAAATCATTGGTTATGGTGGTATGTGGTACATTTACATATATTATGATTCATTTATATTGATACAGTAATAATACAAATACCTGACTCATTGGACCTATAAATCACTCTTTCACTCTTTAACTATAATGGTAAAAATAATTAATTTTTTGTCTATTCTTCGAATCATTCAATAATATGAATTCCCTGTTCCAAGTCCATGGTTATGAAGGTCACCTAAAAGAGGTTATGACCAATACAGTCCCACCCAGAACTCAAAAACTAGATTCATGTGACATGAATCATACAATTTAGTAGTGGTCTCGGTTTATCCTCATATATTTCGGGAAGATTTTCTTACAGATGTTCGATCAAGAGTCGAGTCCAGATATTTAATTGACAATCTGGTAAAGGACTCATATATGTCAGGCCCATTCTAAGCAATGGTTTCCAAAGAAGGGGGAGACTTCCGCGAAAAAAATCTGACAAGCTTAGAAGGAAAGAAGACCCAAACTGTCAAAAAAATTGGAAGAGTAAACTTCCCATAATAATCTTTGATCTGACAAACCAAAAAAAAATTCAAAGCAAAAGGTGTGTGTGTGTGGGGGGGGGGGGGGGGGGGCACCAGCGTCTAGATGAAAATTTACTATACTCAGAAAAACAGCACCCCTCCCCACCCCCACCCCACCCCACCCACGTTTTACAGGCCTGCATGTAGCTCATTCTGACCATTCTGATCACGCAAACAAGATTACTTACTAAATGTCCATTAAGGAAAAAAGTGTTTAAAGATATTTTGTATAATCATTTTTCAATATATGACTCACTAAGCTCCGACAAAATTGAAATGGGTATAAAACCGTGAGTCGTGAATTTTATACTTTCGGTAGAGGGTAACCGTGCATTTTAATCATACAAACACTTTGCTTTCATTGATGTCTAGAGTGAAGAAAAAAGATTTCAAAGATGGAAAGCAATTAAATATATAATTCACGATTTTGATATCGGACTAACTAACGATAGATTTCCATGAATAAAGAAAATTTTCAAAGTTGTAATCCATTTTCAATTCAATGTATAACGACCAACTTAGCTTGTAGCAGTCTTGAATTCCCAGCTTGATCCAGAGGAATACAGCCATGGAAAAGATTTTCGAAGATAGCATGAGTTTTAGTGCCCCCCCCCCCCAGGGGGGAGGGGGTTTCTGGAACCATCATTGCACAATTTTTGTTCCTTTCATCCATACATGCTAGATTTTACATACTAGTACCAAGTTTTGTTGAAATTGGTTTAGCCATTTCAGTATAGAATTGAACACAGTTTACAGACGAGGGACGGGCAACAAATAACAACCCAGGGGTCTGTTTTACAAAAGAACTCACGACTAAGACTAAAAAATTTAGTTGATTGTAAAATCTTGCAGAAAAAAATTGAAAAGATTCAGACCATTTTCAAATCAATGTAAAATAAAAAGTTATATGCAGAATTAAATTTTGGTCTTAGTCTTAAGTTCTTTTGTAAAAAGACCCCCAGGTGATCTAAAAATCACAAAAATATGTCATTTGTAGATGGAGAGTCGTCCCTTTTCATTCTATTTTACGACATGCTCTTTTCATATTATCATTGGTCGTCGCTACATGCATGGTTCCCCATCTACGCTTTGGATTGGGTCAAAATTAACCAAAAATTTCCATGGCATAAATAAATTAATGACTAAATAAATAAATAAATAATTTTAAAAAAAACTCATGTTTAGAAGATACATTTAGTATTATATTGTCAATTAACTTGAATTCCCAGCTTGATCCAGAGGAATACAGCCATGTAAAAGATTTTCGAAGGGGAAGGGGGGTTTCTGGAACCATCATTGCACAATTTTTGTTCCTTTCATCCATACATGCTAGATTTTACATACCAAAATTTTCCATGGCAGAAGTAAATTAATGACTAAATAAATAAATAAATAAATAAATTAAAAAAAAACTCATGTTTAGAAGATACATTTAGTATTATATTGTCAATTAACTGAAAAGGGTCAACTTACATTTTAAAAATTGAATTTTGGTATACAGGGAAATGGGTAGTGTCCTCGTCTTAGGAGAATCATTATTTATTCAGACACGATTGGACAACAAGTAATGCCGTATAAATGCTTTTCAAGTTGTAGAGTATACGTGCGATACTATGGAATGTATTTTGAATTTCAAGTACCACAGTTATTGCACGTATAATTTTTAAATCGACCTTTATCACATCCATATACCGAAGGCCTGTGCAATTAATGTATCATAACAGTACATGTACATCTAGGACAATGAGCTTTTTCATGCACATTTATTGGAGAGTTCGCCTTGAAGGCGACGTGATAGACATGTAATAATAAAGATGTCAGACCGGTCACGTGGGACGGGTGTCCACTTACAGGCAGCAAAGAGCGTGGGCGGATCTAACTTCCAGACATTATGATGAAATTAAAACAGGAAAGCTAAAAAAAAAGTTTATTCATAATTAGTGACGATTCAAATAATTATGTGTTTCTTTGTTTTTGTATTTTTTTTTAAATAATTATTCTAAATTTATCTTTTTTCTATGATATACTGTACATTTACATGTACCATATTCTCCCCCCCCCCCTTTTTTTTTTGGAGATGAATCGATTTCTTTGACATTTTAAACATTTCATTAAATGAAATTTAAAAGCAATTTAGTGAAAATAATCCATTGGATGAATTAAGCCTCATTTATACACAATGTACTTTTTTATGTCAACATGGTCGT